TAGAAATCTAAGTCCAGTTCATTTTTTTCACTCCTTTAACCAAGAGCAGACCGCAAGATGCTAAAAGAGGTCTCCAAAAACCCTAAAATGTCATCTCGAGACCTACAGCAGGCTCTGGCTACTGTTGATGTAGAAGTGCATGCCTCTACAATCAGAAAGAGACTGCACAAGTTTAACTTGCATGGGAGGTGTGCAAGGAGGAAACCTTTGCTCTCTAAGAGAAACATCAAGGCCAGACTGACATTTGCCAGAGAGAATGTTGACAAAGACCAGGACTTCTGGAATAATGTTCTTTGGACAGATGAGTCCAAAATTGAATTATTTGGACACCAGAGCAGAGGACATGTTTGGCGTAAACCAAACACAGCATTCCAGGAAAAGAACCTCATACCAACTGTGAAGCATGGAGGTGGAAGTGTCATGGTTTGGGGCTGCTTTGCTGCAGCAGGACCTGGTCAGCTCACCATCATAGAATCCACCATGAATTCTACTGTGTATCAGAAGGTGCTTGAAGAACATGTGAGACCATCGGTTAGAAAATTAAAGCTGAAGCGGAACTGGACCATGCAACATGACAATGACCCAAAACATACTAGTAAATCAACCAAAGACTGGCTGAAAAAGAAGAAATAGAGAGTCCTGGAATGGCAGAGTCAAAGTCCAGACCTGAATCCCATTGAGATGCTGTGGGGTGACTTGAAAAGGGCTGAACATGCAAGAAACCCCTCAAACATCTCACAGCTGAAACAATTCTGCATTGAGGAGTGGGGTAAAATTCCCTCAGACCGATGTCAGAGACTATTAGATGGCTACAAGAACCGTCTCACTGCAGTTATTTCAGCCAAAGGAGGTAACACTAGCTATTAGGGGCTAGGGTGTGCTATCTTTTTCCTTAGTTAGAATAGGCATTTTTGTAGAATTACATTTACAGAAGATCTTGAAAAGACTTTTCCTCAGTTTTAATTATTTAGTTGTATTACTTTAATCTCTCTGTATTGTTAAAATTGAGATTAAATAACCATATATTAAAACATGTTACAAAATACACATGCTTTCAAAGGGTGTCCTAATTTTTTCACATGACTGTAGATGTTAATATATTCATGTCATGAATAAAGAACTGACTACATGGTATAAATAAAAGCCACCTCTTGACTACATCGCTGTCCACCATCACCATCTGTTTTGGGATGGACAGGTACACACTTAGTAGTCCCAGAGACATCAGGCTGAGAGAGACCAGACAGGCTCCACCGTGGGAGTCCAGAGAAAAATGCAGCATGTCTGACACATCTGGAGGATCCTCGGACACTCGATGTGCTGTGTTTGAGGCTGCAGGAGCTCCTGATGCCTCTTCTTCTCCGAACAGACCTGTCTGCCCTCTGCTGGATGGATCGTCAGCACAGCCAGCTGGGAGGCAATCTTCTGGGTTTTTCTGTGCCTCTGATTTGTTCATGTCTACCTCCATCAACATCTCTTCTCCTTCCAAATTCCTTTGGGACTTCTCTCCTTCTGCTGCTGCTCTGCCATCTTCATTTCCTTCTCTTTGTTTTTCTTTTCTTTTTGACCCAGTTTTTCTCTGCAACACCTCCTCCCCCGTCTCTGACCTCTTTTCAGTTTCATGGTAAAAAGCAGTAACAGGTCTGTTATTTCCAGTCCTGTTGTTAATTAGATCCCTCAAGATGTGGAAGGAATCAGTGCACAGAGAGTGAGGAAAACGCCACGTGAAACACCTGTCAGGAAAGGGGGGGGCATCAGTGTATTTGGTTACTTTGAAAAAATTTGTATGCATTTATAACAGAGAAAATGCAAAAAGCAGCTAGAAAAGAAAGGAGAACTTAAAATGTGAAGATGTTTTGACATGGCACTACACTGTGAAGGATGCTAAAATTAAAAACATACAGCCTGCTCTATGAGCAACAGCTCCTCAGTAACTATACGGCAACTTCCTGCTAAAACAATGAAAAGCAGCTCTAATGTATAGTAAATCAACTCACAAGGCATCAGAAGCCAACATTTATGTTCATTATTGCACCTGGTTGTTAGAAAAGTACCAAAACATTAACTTTTCTGAGCTACAATGACTTTCTGATTAAATAAATCAAAATAAAAACAAGTAAGCCAACATTCTTCCTCAGGTTGTTGTGTACCTGTAGTAGGTCTGGGACAGCTGGTACGACATGGGCAGGATGGGCAGCGCTCTGCTCTTCTTCGGCCCAAAGGGCCGATTGACACGACGGCGGCTGACCAGACCCCTCTTCCTGTATTGTATGAACACCTTGCACAGCAGCTCCTGGTTATACTTACTGTACATGTGGAAGGTCTAAGAGACAAAATAAATAATAGGAAGTGTGTGTTTGTGAGTATCTAATGGCAAGGGGAAGCAGGGACACGTGTAAAAATCAGCTCAGGACCCACCTGTTTAGACTTGTCTTTGTGTTTTCACTCTTCTTAAGTCTGTATTGTTATATCTTATTTCACTCTTACAAATAAATAAATAAAAATGTGTACTTTAACTTCATGTGACACTGTGTGAACAGAGGAATAATATTATAGGTGGCCGTACCTGAAAGGATCTAGAGGATTTCATCTGACTGTTGGTCATAGCCAGAGTGCTCTGGATCAAGTTGTGCAACACTATGGCATGAATGTCATCTGTGCTGTAATAAACACAAACACATAATGAAATGGCACTTGTATAGATTCTGATTTATGCAGTGGGGGAAAGAAAATCTAAACTAAATCCTTACTGTTCGAGAGTGTCTCTGCACAAAACCTGCGTTCCACTGTCTATTGCAGAAACCTTAAACCTGTAAAACACACACAGGACGACATGAAACAAAACCCTCAGCTACTAGTCTTCAAGTAAACGCATCAAATCTCGTGCACTTCTCACCGTGAGAAGAGCTCCTGTTTCGTGTCAGGAATGATCTTATCACGAGCGCTCAGGATACAGCTGAACTTCTGTCTGAGCAGCTTGAAATGCTCTAGTAACGATTCAGCACAATCCTAAAACAACACAGACAGACATGAGATGCCAGAAGGTCAACTTTAAACTTTCAGAAACAAAAAACAGAACACCATCACAACCTCTGGTTTATCGGGATCAGTAGGTAGCTTTTCCTCCAAGAGTCTCATCAGTGTTTTGTCCTGGTAGACCTCAGCCACACAAATCCTGCAACACATACCTTGTATGAGTGAAACATCACAGGCGTTTGTGTTCTGAAATGTGTGCTGTTATTACCTGCACCCACCTGTAGTTCAGAAGCGTCTGAGGATTCTTGAGGATGTATCGTGAGCGACGTGCAACAGCAACAGAGGTTTTATCCATCGATACCTCAAACTCTGCGTGGAGCAGGTCTCTCACCACACAGTAAGGTACGAATGGTCTTTTCAGCTGCAGTACATCAACATGACTGTGAGTACACTTGACTCTACAACAGGTTAAACAGTCCAAAACACAGACAATTGATCAAATACAACCAATTTCCTGTTATTTTTACTAACAAAAAATATGCATTTATATGTTCAAAACATATTTAATAATGTGACGGTTCATGTCATAGCTTGAAGCGGATGTAGATCAGGAGGTAGAGTAGATTGGTGGTTTGATTCCTGGTCTCCTTGGACAAGACGCTGAACCAGACAGCCACTGACAGAGCTGCCATCAATAAGAAATTTCCCCACAGAGATTAAAAAAAGAAAAAAAATTCTCGGAATTTTTGTCTTTATTAGGGCAAAGACGCACCAAGCCGACGTGGGAAAAAAAAAATAGCAGCAGCAAAGAGACTGCAGAAATACAAGCTGTAGGAAAGCAGCTCTCGCCCACAACAGCTTCTGTTTATAGCCTCTTCTAACTGAGAATACCTCTGATAAGAAGTTATAAATAACACTGCTGCCCTCTGAGCTTGGTGTTTTGCTTGTGGAAGAAGAAAAAGAGTTTACGGAGGCGAAAAACAAAGAGAAACCGCGCTATATGGGTGAAATCATGGAGACTACAGTGACAGGCTCAAGGGGCTTTCCTGAACATTTCTCTTGTCATACACTGATTTGCTTAGATGAACAGCCAATCAGAACGGTCGCTCTCGTCAATGAGGCCAGACAGCGATGCTCAATTGGCCAAAAAGCCAACGACAGACTCCAACTAGCGCCCACAGTGTGGAACACACCAGGAAGATGAGTCCTGATAGACTGACTGATGGCGAACAGTGGCTGAGGTAACGGTGAAGGAGAGGAAAGAGGAGGCATGACATGCAACAAAATATTGAACTCTAATCAGGGACGGTGTGATTATATAGTCACTCATCTGTTATGGTCCTATATTGTAGACAGCACTGCTTCATGTGTGTGTACCTTGATGTTGAGCAGGTGTGCAGCCACGCAGCAGAGCATCAACAGTGAGTCTTCCTGTACAGTCCAGTAGACTCTCTGTCTGGTCATCATTTTCAAAGCTTGGTGGTCTTTCTCATCATGGGCTGGGGTGCGTTTCTTGGGTTCTTAAAGGCACAAAAGAAAAAAAAAACCACATACACAACCTATAAGCCGTCCATCTCTAGTCTATCAGTCACATGCATGAGTATTTATGTTCTGGTGCTCATACTGCACCTTTCCTCTTCTTGAGTTGGACCCTGATAACCTCTTTTTTGGTTCTCTTCCTCCTCTGTCTCTTTCCTCCAACCACCCGCTGGTTTCTGGAAGCAGGCTCTATACCCACCTAGCAATAAAGACGAGGTCAGAAAACATTGTTTGTAGCCTGTACTCTGTGTCCTTGACTGCAGTGTTGACCAAAACATGTTAACACAAATGTCTAAACTACACTTACTAATCAGTCAAAGTGCCTCTTCACTACTGAGATGTGCCATTTGAGACAATCAGCTGTGCTAAGTTTAACTGACCACAACAGACTGATATGATATGGACGTCAACATATTGAATCTCTGGTTTAAATGTGTATAAAGCTTTGAAACATTCTCAACTGTAACAGGCTCATATATCAGACAGATAACAAAAATATACTTGCTGGAGTTTAAAAGATAAAAAAACAATATAAAAAAAAAAAAACGAAGTCTGAGTTAAAGCTTTTTTTACTGCAGACAGAACTACTGCAGCCATACGTAACTAAAACTAAAGGTGAAAAAAACTTCAGCCTCCACCTGTGTCAGACTCGCATCAATTTGAGGCGTGCCATGATTCAACGAATCCCCATTGAATCATGGCACCATGATGTAAAGAGACACGTGATCAACTTGTGTTATCCGTCACAAAGGTTTTTTTCCTTTTGCTTCAATCATTTTTGTGTGTGCGTGTTTTTTTCCCTCCTAAACTTTTTTTAAAAAGATGTGTGGAAGTGAAATCAAGCTAAATAACAACCACTTCTCTATATAACACAGGACAATAGGACTGCTGCAATCAGACTGACTAAGAAAACTATAAACAGCGATAGAAGTCATACCTCAATATTGTGTAACACCACTGGTCGCTTGGTGGTCAAACAACGAGGGCTAGTTGATCCTCCTGTTACACAGATGTATACAAACTATATTAATGAGCAGGAACTCAGTGTACCTCCACATGCCAGGGAAAACCTCAAGAATACCTTAAAATAACTTCACAATGACATATTGTTGCACCTGTGTGTGCTCACATATTACAGAAATGGTTGTTGCTGAATTAAAGCAAGTCCAACTGTAACACATAAAAGATGTCTTGTTATTTTCAAAGCAACTCACCAGCTTTAAGTGCAAACCTGAGAGCATTTTTACTCAGCACTCTCTTCAGTCTGAATTTAGTCTCCTCTGCCTGTAAACCAGTCGCGCTCTAAACATAAATAAAAACCAACCACATTTAATACTGTCTCTGTCTATGCATATAAAGACAAGTACACACAGTATACCATACAGGTTGTGCACATACCGTTTTGCAAGCAAGGAGGTGACTGGTCCAGAACCAGTTGCGTTTAAGATGAGCAAAGAATCCAGAGTGCAGCCCTCCTGCTCCTTTACCGTCTCCTGGTATCGACCCATCATCACACACTTCACCACTTCCCCTGTGTGTGTGTGTGTGTGTGTACATAGACATGTAAATTCAGTGCTTCTTTGAGTTCATTATTTTATATAATGTGAAAGAAAAGATAAACACAATGAGATTTCCTCTTCTCTCCATTTTACATCATTAGGTTTCTGACTGTCATTTGGATAAAAGCAGCCGTTTCTGGGAAAAGATGAGTTGTTTTTCACTACGTTCTGACATTTTGTAGAATTAATATCTGACCGATTAACTGAAAACAGATTAATGGATGACCAAAACCGCGGTTGGTTGCTGTCCTAACTTAGAACCTCACATAGTATTTTTCCCTGTAGAGAAATTATATTCCACTTACTTTAGCAGGTCTGCCATTGCAGCGAACATGTTGCGTTTATGCACAAAAGATCGAGCAACTTCCTTCTCTGTGACATTTCTCTTACCACGGATTATCCCTAAAAAGAGGCCAAAAAGAGTAAATGGCAAATCAAAAAAAAACACTGAACTTGACAGTTTTCCATATGACTGCCAGTGCTGTTTTTGATTCTACTAATGTGTGTGTGTGTGCGTGTGTGTACCCAGTGGTGTATTGAGGCAGACACACATCAGGTCAAACCAGTAGTTTTCTACATCCTCAGCAGTGTTGAATGTGTACTGGCGCCTCTCGAATGGTTTGTCAGGCGACTCTGTGACCAGCCAGTAATGTGGCTCAGCGTTGGTGGTGTCAACAATGGTGGCATTACGTCTCAGGTACACAAACACCTGGACCAGTGCAGGTACAGCATGAAGAAAAGAACAATTCATTAGGTTTGACTGAAGTTTGACCTTCTTTGACCATGAACCAGTGAAACATACAGTGAAAACTGTCTGAAAATACTCATTTTAACTCATTAAGTTTAACTTTTATAGCTGTGTTGTCTTTTCTCCCTGATATCAATGTTTCTATTTAATGCAATTTTGTTTTTACATAGATCTATTTTATTTAAAACTTTAATCTTCCCTTGCTATACCTGGTCCTTCTCCTTGAACTTCTCCATCGGACCAAACTGCATCAGACCCATGTAGACCAACCTCTGCAGGTTCTCATGAAATGAGTAGATGTATTTCCTGATATAAAGAACCCATAGATACTCAATTTAGAATTGCAGTAATGAAGTGTTATAGAGAGAACAAGAGGTAAAAGAAATCACCGTTTGTAAAGAAGCTGTCGTCTCATCTTGGTGGGCAGCGAGCCAACAAGATAGTGTTGTTTCACAGGGTCATTGAGATATTCCTCCAGTCCATCCACCTGTGGACACAAGTCAGCAAATGTATTTTTATGTACATCATGTGCTCCGTCTTTCCTCATGCATTGCAAGTGGCATCAGCAGTATTTCATAAATTTCAACTTTCTGTTTAGGCTGTTTTTCAGGAACAAATAATTATCACTAAGACTCTCTCTTTCGTTGTGTAGCACAGATTTTTATTATGTGCAAGTGTGTAGAATGCATGTAAAAATTTGGGCTCACCTTATAATTGATCTGTGTCACCTGCATGAAGACGGAGAGAGGGAAGCAAGGGAGCAGGTCACTGATCATTAGCCAGCTGCTGCCAAGCTCCTTGTGCACACGGGCAGGAGGGATGAATTTCTTCCATGACTCTTCTTCAGCATAAACTATCAGAGACAGGCAGAAAATTACTGTGTATAGTTGGGAAAATAGCCGTTTAAAAACCTTCCCCAGTCAATGAAACAACTACAATATGCATGTCTATGTTCACTAGTAAGTCCAACTGTGCAGTATTAAAGAAACAAATCTGCAGAACTTATGCACTTGTTTTGACAGAAACAAGTTTCTAAGAAACAAAATTAAAGGATCATTAAAAAGCCATGTATGTACGAAGCTCCCACACGTCACCTTTCATGTTCGGCTGAGAGAGTCCAGGTGTGGATTTATCCTTTGGTTCATCCTGTTCATCACCTGACGTCAGATCCAAGTTAGAATTTGAAGTGTGTACGCCCACAGAGCTGGAGGCAGCATCTTCAGACAGCCATGCTTGAACGTTTTGTGCATCTTTAAGACCCTGTTTCTCACGTGTGTCTGGGTGTTTGACATCAAGATCAGAGCTGTGTAGGTTTGCAGGTGTTTCACTGGTTGAGTGAGAGCCAGCGCAGCTGTGTCTGAGCGGGTGCCCATAAATCAGATACCAGAGAAAGTGATGAACAACACGGAGACGATGCATCTTAGGCTGGAAGCCTAGAGTCTTACCCAGTCCTGGAACTGCAAAAGCAGAGACAGAGAAAAAACAAAAAGGTTTAGAGAAGAAAATCTGATCTTGAGAATGCTGATATAATGCAGTAAGGTAAATATAGCGGCAAAGTGGCTTAAGTTGGAGGTAAATTTCAAACTTTTATTGTGACAGGCTGTACCAGGGTTAGAGCATGGATCGGGCCCTGTATTTCTGTCTGAACCTGACCCGAGCCCAGTGCAGTGAATTTGTGTGGTGTTTATAAATGAATCAGACATTTGAGTCCTCCAGCCATCTAGCCTAAAGCTTGACCTATGTGTCCGAACCCAACCCAGACCTGAACATAATTTCTAAATTTCTGTCCGAACCTGGCCAGAACCCTCAGGTACTCTAACTAGGGTTACATTATCATCATTATGTTTACCACACTCAGCTGCAGTACCTCCTTGTCCCTGAATAATATTCATGAACAGACCTCCCACTTTTTATTTTACAGCATATTATCAAACAGAACCTGTTGTGGGACTGAACTGCTCGTCGTCTTTAAGGCTTGCCCTTGACTTGTCAGCCTTGCTCTTCTGGGCTCTAGATGTGCTGGCGGTCGTCTCAGCCTGGTTTTCTTCAGTGTGATTCTGACTGAGGGCCAGAAAAAGAAACAACACTGAACAGAAGCTTTATCAAGAAACAGCACATGTCCCTGGCCTATGTTACACACCGATGCTGAGTCATGACCGAGTGTGCAGAACATTTACACCGACAGTCTATGAAAATTATGTATAGTCACAGGAGTCAACAGCGGGGAAGCATCGAAAATCACTGGATACAACTTGCCGCTTGACTGTGGTGAACACCAAGCTAATATATACTACTCAGTAACTCATTTTAAGGTTACCGGTGTGCACTCACCGTACAGTGGAGAACGAGCTGGAGATTCTGAAGCGGACCTGCTCGATAACTTGGGTCACAATGTCATCGCTGGATTGAACAGAGGGATGAACAACCAACTCAAGCTGTAGGGGGAAGAGCACCAGGCAGAGAGAGGGAGAAGGGGTGGAGTTCATATGTCTTTTCTAGTCTGTACATCTGTTGTGTGTGGGGACTTTCATCTCATAATGTACGTGCTGCATTTTATGACTGTTACATATAAATGTACTTTTACCTCTGCCACAGAAACATGACATATTTAATGTGTTTGAACTATGAGTTCGCTAAGATAAGCCAACCAGATGCCAGCTCTTCACTGACGTTTAGGTTATTAATGGCACAAATGAGAGTGATATCAAAGTTCCTACTTAGCCCTCACTAACAGAGCTACCAAGCACATTTCCCAGATATTCATTTATTAAAAACAAAAAGTAGTGGGCAGTGCTTCCAAACCTATACTACAAAACAGCTTTAATACCAGTCAGCTTATAAAACATGAGGGAACATGAAAACGTTTTGCAAAAATTCATGTAATTGTGTGTTGTCAGTGATGCAGTGTGATGTGCATGTACCTTCTTGGTGATGCCATCCTGTATGATAGTGGTCATGTAAATCTTGAGCAAGCCTTCTCTAGACAGACTGTTGATGATGCGTAAAATAGATTTCCGGCAACACTTTGAGCTGACGCCATCCTGCTTCTCTGCTTCATTGATCATCTTCTGTAGCCTGGAGGGAAGACAACATGTCGACAGTTTGTTTCCTCCTTGCTGTGCAATAAAATGCTGTGAAATTAAGTGACAGAACATTTAAGACAAACTGACGGGAAAAGGCCCTCTATGACTCTCAGGTTGCGGACGGCCTCAATGATCAGGTTCTTCCTCCTCAGTAGGCGCAACGTCTCATGATTCCTCTCTTTATCTGCATTGATGGCCTGAAGGAGGTGGATCAAGCTGTTTACTTTCATCTGCCCATTTCAAACAGATTAGCTTCAACCTACTCTAGCTGGAAAAAAAAACAAACCACTAAAACCAGAATGTCAGACTGACCGGCAGCTGGGAAACAAGCACGATGTTGTTAGCTGCTAGGTTCTCCGCTGCCTCTTTCTCCTTTTCAACTGGAGCTTGTCCTGACAGAAGAGACAATCTAAATTACAGAGCACTGACAAAGGGGAACACTCATCTAACAGGATAACTGTATATGTATGTGAACAGTAGAGCTGCCAAGGAAAATGACAGCGCTGAAATAATCACAGTACCAAACACTGTCAGTTGTACAGAAGGTCTGGCGACAATTTGAAATCTCAGTGTTAAACAGAAACATAAAAGATCCAAGCAAGAGTGATAACATGGATTCACACTAATATTTGTGAAAAATAAACAACATTATCTTGATATCAAAATGCCTTCTATTTAGTAACATCTTCAAAATCAAAATCTTTATAATGCATGTACCACTAAATAAAAGTTTGCTGTTTTAATAGCAGAAAATAAATGTAACATATGTCCTGTAGTATTCATTAGAGATGGGACAATATGACTTTATCTCGATATGATTTGATGCAGGATATGGTGTGTGCGATTCAATCACGATGCAATTAAAAATTCTGTGACAACAATGTCTGACTAGCTGTGGAATACTTGTACTTTATTCCTTTTCTAGCACTGGTTTGATTATGGAAAGCACAACCAGATATATTGACTTGTGTTCTTTTTTTTTTTTTACAACCCCAAATCAAAATTAAAAGTGAAAATCATTTGTAAATCATCTGTGTCCTGTATCACATTGAAAACGATACAGCAGTGCATTATTTGATATGATACCTCGGTTTCATTCTTTGTTCACACTCATTTCAATTCTGATACCTGCAACACGTTCCAAAAAAAGCTGTGCCCTTACATATGGAGGGACAATGAATATATTATGTACATCCATCAGTTTAGCACAAACAAGACCTGAATGCTAACGTTGCTCTCTATCTGCTGGATGTGCAAAGAGGCAACAGTTCACCAAGCAGCTTGTCAAACCAACTCAGAAGGTGAGGATATGTCAGACATTGCTGTGTTTACAGAGCCTGTCTACTGCCCCCAAGTGGCCAGAATAAAATCTGTGATTTCAGATTTATGATTTGGTCATTTTCAGCAGCACTGTTTGCACTGAGGCCAGTAAGAGATTAAACTAAATGAAGTTGTCCATTTCTGTGAATTACCTGCTGTGGGAACAATCTCGGAGTTAGGCGTTATACTGGTCACTGATTCACTGCTGGCCTGGGTTTCACCTGAGTGGTGAGACACAGAGAAGAAGTGGGACAAAGTAAAGAGCTGTATCCACCTATTAACAAGACTTTGGTTATCACCTGTTACCGGATGTGGATCATCTTTCCAAGTAATATCTGCTTTGAAAGATGCAAAGGTTTACTCACACTCCATGGATGTAGGCTGTTTTATGGGGATATCAGGCTGCTTTGTTGCCACACTGCCTCTTTTCACTGTTGATTTTGTTCTTGCTCCTGACTTTCCTTTTGTTTTACCTCCCTCTTCATCCGAACCCTTATCACCTGTATGCACTTGTCTATCCTCACACAGTGGCTGAACCTCCCCTACAGCTTTGTCTCCTTTTCTGCCTGCTTTCTTAATTTTCTTCACTGCAGGAGTTTTAGCGTTTTCTTTTGCTGTGGATTCTGAGGTTGATGGTGTTTTGGGGGTGGCAGGTGCAGTATCTGCTGTTTGTGGTGCAGTGGAGTAGAGGAGCTTTTGGCGTTCCTGCTCCTTAGCAAACAGTTGGAGGTCATTGCTCACACCCACATACCTGCCAAGAGACATGAGCAGAACAGTATTCGCTGAAATAACATTTGATATGATGTGGAGTTAAAATAAAAATGTAGAAAATGTTTTTCATTCACAGAGACACACTTATGGCTGATATATCTTCTAGTCCTCTGCCGACCCACATCCTCCATGAATCCCTGCAGGGTGACAGACATCACGCACATTAAATGGGTAACCAAAAAAAAAAAAAAACAACAACCAGCAATACCTATACCATGTAATACATTATGTAATAAATTAGAGCTAAATTAAATACCCTGTTTTATGTGCACTACTGCTTTAGTAGTTGGGACTCAATTCTACAGTAAATTCTGAGGCTGCTGTGGAAGTGCACTAGATAGTGCTTCCTATATTCTGTCTTCTTTATTTACATCTTTAAAGAATTATGTGCTGCTGACATAATTTTATTTGCAAACCTCCCATTACACAAGACATTTTCCCCATCTCTCTTCCTGCAGTGAAATTTTTTTTGACTGGCAGACAGACAGACTTTTGTCATTGTTAGAAAACAACAAAAGCACGTTTGGCATCTCCTCAGTAAAATTAAATAAATAGATAAATAAAGCAACTTTGAAACATTAAAAACACAGATTTTGACTTCACTAGGTTTTTAAAAGGAACAAGTAGTGCACACACATTTGGTAGGGAGTTAATCTGGTGGCAAAATGTTACACCAACAGCCCAGAGCTTACCTTAACGAAACCATCTCTTTCCAGCCTCCGACAGAGCATACGAGATTCCAGTTTATCATTGTTCATTCTAAACCTGATGCCAGATTGGGTGATTCCCTTTGGACCAGTAGATAATACTACATTACAAAAGGCACAGACATGAGTTAATGCTACGGTCATATGGAAACAATAACAAAATAAACAATAAAAAAGATGTGTTACTGGTAGATAATCACTAATTCTTAACTAATGACAACATGACTTGAATCCATTTTATTTGCCTGAGTCTTGTGTTTGTTGCGAGAGGAGATTGATTGAACGTACCAATGTTATAGGCCTGTGACAGGATGTCCTTCTCCATGATTCGGCCTTCTGACGGGAGATCTCTTCTTTTAGCTCCTGTGTCATCTTCCTCATCGTCGTCGTCATCGTCGTCATTAGCGATGCCCTTCCTTGTATACGGCTTTAACAGTTTCCAACAGCGCACGAGCACTTTATTCCCTAGAAAAGATAGGCTCGGGTTAGGCATGTGACAAATACAATGCTGAATATAATCATTGCAAAATTATAATACGCAGTTGTCACTTTTATTTAAATAGATCATAGATAAGGCTACAACGGCACTGCACAATCATATATTATTTAAGAATAATAAAGCTGAACCTTGAAATTATTGTGCTGTCATAAATGGTTTGGTTTTGATTTCAACTTTAATTCTGATACTGTGATGACACACTTTGAAAAAAGGTACATTCATTTGAGCACATCAAATAGATGTTTTCAAGATGAGTACACACACTATGTTGTGCTTATTTGCACTGACGCTACCTCTTTTGTTGGCGCAGGGCCCAGCGCTGGGATCCAAGTCCTCCAGAGGGTATTGGCAACTCTCAACCAACTTAGCAGCTTGCATGCATTGAAATATACGCCTGAAATTACGCTCATCCACATTCTGCAAGAACAACAAACAACTAGTATCACAAACAGAAAGACGAACACACACAGGCCAACAGAAGCTCACAGAGAGATATACTAACAAGATGTTGTCTGAGTGCCATCACGGGGGTGACCTGACCAGGTGTCTGCTGGAGAAGGTTGGACGCCTGCTCCATCAGTAAGTCATACTTACTCCTCCTGAAAGAACAAAGCAGCTTAAGAAGACTTAGTCCAAGGAGTGTGACTGACAGGTGCTGCTCTTAAATTCTGTACTAGAAGGGCATATGATTTTATGATTTGCCTATGCTGATACTCCAATTTATAAAAACATCTCCTCCTTTTTCGTAGGAAATGTACCACTGGTGATGGGACTGTTTATTCACCATATCCAGGAGCAGACCTCCCTTTCTTACACTGTAAAATGTGTTTGGATGTTTGTACCTCTGTTGCTGCAAACTTCATCAGTCTTCACTGAGACTGCATATTTAATAGTATTTTGTCTGAACAACCTGAAAGTGGCAACATTTTGATTTAAACCAAGAACAATCTGATCACTAAATAAGTAAACAAGATATCACAATACGTTTGATGCTGGTATTCAGTACATGACAGCTTCTGATACGTGCTGCTATGGACAACTGGGGCTACAGTACATCCATTCCAGCAGCTCTGTGATCCTGTGAGGCACTGTCATGCTTAGAAATGTCAAACATACCATAATCTGAGCTGTTAAAATGTAAGGATATGCAACTTCTCAGTAAAATAATTAGAAAATTAACCAAGAAGGAAACATTTGCATTAGTTTTTAACCCTTATCGGATCAAAAAATGAGTAAACAATAAGATTTTGACCTGACATTTGAACTTAGTTTTACTTCAGTATTTGATTGTTGATCCTACTTTACATTAACAAACCTGTTTATGTAGAATCGCTTGAGCAGCAGAAGTATGGAGTACTGCTGTTGCCTTGACTTCAGTCGTCTGACATGAGAATGCATGCTGATGAGTCCATGTTTAACAAGAGACATCCGCATGTAGTGCAACTTTCGAGCATCGGTCCTGTTGAAACACAAAACTGGCTGTTAAACAACTAAACATGAGCTTGTAACAGAGTTAGAAGAAAAACACCAGTGATGCTGTACTAAATGGGTGAGCACGTGTCTCCTACTTAAAAGAGCAGCCATGCAGATTGCTCTGTAGCTCTCCGTCATTGAGTTTTAAGTCAGGATCGCTCTCTACACCAATCAGCGTCCTGAAACGCAGTGTCTGAGATGCCACCACCACAAGTTTTCTGCCATATCTGAGAGGGCGTGGATTAGAAGGAAGAGGGAAAATGTTAAACATGAATACACTAAAGCTAATGCTTTGATAAAATCTATGTACTATTCCTCACTCCAAATCTAAAAATAACAACCTAGGATGTAAAATCAAAAGCTTGTTTTCATGTTCCACTGAACTGAGCATTTCAGTTAAACAGAAATCCCATTTTAAATGTAGAATGCCTAAACTGCTGCATTACATGTCCATTTGTGCATAACTGAGCAACACTTAGGACTGTTCAGTTTAAGTGTAGGCAGTGTGTAGGTTCACACATAGCAGTCAACCCGCTGAATACATTTATACTGGATACTACTGGACAGTCTCTACCAACCGTTCCAAAGCCTCCTCCAAGCTGAGTGACTTGGAGTGGACCTGCTTTGTAATGTCTGTCCTCTCCTGAAAGAATGCACACGAGCCCTGTATCCCATCTTTGTTATCTAGAATAATATGGACAGGGTAGATGTCCTCCTTGGTGTCCGAAAACTCCTCTGCTGTTTCAATGCCTGTCTCTGGGTCAGTGTTTTTAAACCTGAAAACACAAAGACATGCAAACACAAAGTCAAAGTCAGAGCATCAAACAAAGGAAGGAATCATGCAAGCAAACAAGGAAGCACATATTTGAAATATCCTAACAGGTCAAATGATTCAATATAATTTTTAACCAGATGTTAAGTGATGAGCGCTCCCAATCACAGCTGGCATTCTGCCTCATCAACATGTTGGACAGGGCTGAGATCAGAGCTCTGTGCTGGTCAGTACAGGTCTTACAGACAGGTTTTTGGCAAAAAACAGTGGCTCTATGTCTGAAAAACAGTGGCATTAACCAGGCAGAATGGGCATAATGAAAGATGCTATTGGGGCAATTTAACATCCTGCATTTTTGTATCTTGTAGATAGGGACTAAAAGTCATACTATTGTGGCCTGTGCTGCATCAGGTTTTTTTTTTTTTTTAATAAGTCTTCAAAATGACCACAGAGATTAATCAACTCATTTACAAAACGGCTTTAACAAAACACTAACATTACAAATAACACACACACACAATGTATGAACTATTGTATTAGAGTACATTAGTTTCAGCTAAGTCTTCCTGATCCACTAACGACTTTGTTTCTTTTTGGGGATAATAGCAAACGTTTAGTGTGTGGTCTGTGAAGTAACGTCATCTTGAATAACTAGGCCATGTTATAATCTCACCTGTCCGTCAACACAACATCAGATCTCTCTTGTGGGAGCTCATAAAATTTCAGGTCGGTATTGCAGGTAAGAGACCTCCAGATAAGCCCCTTAGTGGGCTCGTCCAGTCTGAGGGGAAACTTTGGCTGTCTATCTTCTAGTCGTATCCACAAAGACGGAATAGTTATCCCGTCCAGACCCTCCAAAGCCACCTCATCTACGACCATACTCAACGGATCCATAGCGCGACCCCGAGGAGGCTAACGCATATATGTAACGAGTTTATTCATGAGCTAACGCTGCCAGCTAGCTGACATGCTAACTTTCCTTAGCAGCAGCTGAAACTAACTTTACAACTGGGAGAACTATTTTGAAACTTGTATGGTTGCTCCGTTCTCAAAAACTCGCCGGATATTGCATAGCAACCTTTTGCGTACTAATGACCTTTCTAATCAGAAAATCTTAATAGTGCTAAATAAGAAAATCTTGTTAATTCCTTGCTACCTCCAGCTACATTTTAACCAGTGCGTATCGCTGTCCGTTCTTACGTCATATTTCAACTTTGACCTCACGTTGTGCGTCTGTTCAGAAATAATCCACGAGGTGGCGTTCAAGTACAGTTAGGTAGGTAGGTACTTTATTGGTCCCTCAATGGGGAAATGTCAGTGTTTCAGCAGCAATGGAGAACAAACAACATAACACCATGAGAAACAAACACCACACACATATTTTGATAAACAAATTTCAAGTACTCAAAAATAGACAGAATCAAGTATTTGAATAATCAAGAACAGAATTTACATATGTGCATATTAACCATGCATTTTACCCCAGGATTTGAGTATTGCA